CACACACACACACACACACACACACACATACACACACACACACACACCAGCAGCTTGTTCTAGAGACCAGGACTATAATAGCACCTTCACCGGACCTGGTTCTACTTCTGGGTGCAGCTAGAAGTCCTCTGCCTGATTGGAAGTCAGAATTGTATTGCGGAACCAAAACATTAAGTGCTTTATACAATATTAGCAGGATTTTAAAGTTGATTTTGTATTGTATCAGGAGCCAATGGGAGCCTGGCTACTGCATTTTAAATGAGCTGGAGCTAATCCTGTTTGGATAATCCTGCATATAACATGTTAGAGTCCAACCTGCTACATTCAGATATGAATGGAGCAATGGCTCGTGGTAGGGTCTCCCAAAGCAAAGTGGTCTCTGTGGAGGGGACAAAAGCCACTCACTGACCCTATATGAATCAGCCAGAAAAGAGTGGTTGCACCTCGCACAGGTAAAGGGAAACAGGGGCCCCCTTCTGGAGCCAGACCTGGGAGGGAGCTTCCCTCTTAGCACATGGGGCTCTGTGAATAAATATCCTGTTTCTGTCTTTTAGGACCAACTACGAGTATCTTTTAATATCTCCCTCTTGAATTATAGTTTTCATAATGTTCTTCAATCCACTGACAAAGATTCACTAACTTTTCAGTTTCAGCAGCAGGTTTTGGAGCCGGAGCAGGTTTTGGAGCCGGAGCAGGTTTTGGTGCCTCTACTGTAGAAACAAAGAGGAGAGTCTCAGGTCAGCAGAGTTTATCCTCACTCTGAGGTAAATACATGTCGAGATGATTTGATGATGACCTGCAGTTGAAGCCGGAGCATCAGTCTTCTCGTTGACTTCAGTCTTTGAGCGAACATGAATCTCCGGCTGAGGAACCACCTTCTCTAAACCGTGTTTAATCCAGTCGATCATCCTGTCAGTCACACAAACACAAATGTGTTCAAATATCACAAATACATTACTGACCAAAAACCCATTTATTGACTGGAGGAGGCCACCAAAACAATAATGTGACAGATCTCAGGTCTGGTGAGCTACTCTAATCACATTGTACCTCTACCTCTAAATAAACAAACATATATATCTGATGTCAGTACAGTAGATACGTATCTCATTGCTATGAGACCTTAACTTGTTCCCTGTGTGGTTGAGACAGTCAGCTGTTTCTAAAAACACGTTTTGGTTGGTTTCCAAATGGCTCCAGGTTTACAGCTCATTAGATTTAATCTGATCACTGAGCTTGTTGTTGAGCTGATATTATTTACCTGCTGTTTCCTGCTTAACAACCTTCCTTCTTGGAAGGAGAAGAGTGGTTATGAGGTGTAAGCCGCCGTACATTTAAATGAAATCAACGTGACAGTATGTCTGATCTGATCTGAAAACATGGAGTCAGCTGATGACTCTTTGAGTCCCACGAGGTCTAAATACAGTTTGAAAGGACGGAGTTTATTTAAACATCAGGCTCTGGAACTCCAGGGTATCTGGATGTCTAGAAAGATCTCAGTGGGTAGAGCGGGTGGTCCTTTAACCACGAGGTCGGAGGTTTGATCCCGGTTCCTACTGTCTACATGTCCAAGTGTCCTTGAGTGAGACACTGAACCTCATGTTTCCCCCCGAGGTTTTTACAGCAGCTCTCTGCTTCATGTAAGTAAAAGTTTTCTACTGGTTACAACACGTTTGTGTCAGGAGAAGTTCTTCACCTCTAAACTAACTGTTCAGTCAAACAGTCTGCACTTCTGATCAATAATCAATAATCATACCGACCCGACTGGTGTTCCACTTTGACCGCTTTGATTGTGAAAACATTCTGTGAGCTCTTAATAAGAACTTATGTTTAACACACACACACACACACACACACACACACACACACACACACACACACACACAGACCTGGGTGGGAGGGGCTTGTTGTCCTCTCGGGTTGATCCCACCTCCACCACAGTGACCTGAAGCTCTGCAGCTGAGAGAAACCAGTGATTTATTGACTCTGTTTAATTCATTTAAGGTCTCAGCTGATTATCCTGATGGGTTCTCACCTGTTGCAGCTGCTGTTTGATGCACCTGAAGAGAAACAAACACACAAGGTCACATGACCAGCGGACCGGGAGCGTGGGAGGTTTCTAATATGGAGGTTTAAAGTTTATAATGTCATCAGGGTTTCCTTTGACATCATCATAACAGAACGCCTGCTTTAGAAACTTTTCACCAGGTAAGGTGCATCATGGGAAGTGTAGGATCCCTTTTATATATCTACAGCTTATTAAACATGTTTTAATATTTAAACTTAACATATTTTGTTAAATAATGAAAAACGCACCCACAATTCTTTAGTTTAGTTTGACTTCAGATTTTAGGGTTAGTGAAATAACTTTGATTAATCCTGAAAACTCTGAATAATTCTGAAAAGTTAAATATTCCACGCCAGAATATTTATGATTATTTCTGATTTTTGGTACTTTTTGGGATTAATCAATATTCTTCAAGGTGATTGTGAGTTGTATCATTCTGAAGAGGTCTATTTCCAAAAATGGAAAAAGACTGCAGTCATTTTCATGTGAATAAGAATTGATCTTATTTCAGATCAAGCTGGTTCATTAAGTCAACATGAATTTCAATCAATTGCTGCCCAAATAACCTCAGTTTCAGGAGGTGTAATGACAGACAGCCGTCCTCTTGCTCCCTAATACAAGTCACATGAGTGTGTTCCTCAACTGTATTCATGCAGGACGTCCTGTAGCTAGGACCTCATGTACCTCAGTGGGCGGCTGAGCCGGTGGTGTCTCCTTCCTGTTCACATCAGGCTGAGGGACGACTTTCTCCAAACCCTGAGCGATCCAAGCCATCATCCCTGTTCTGAGGTAAAAGACAACAGGAAACAGCATTGGTGTGTTTGACCACCAGAGGATGAGAAATCAATATTATTATAAGGATCATCTTATAATAAGGATCATGTGATCAACGAAAGCAGCTGATGGCTTTGGGCCACTTTCAGTTTCTTTATTTCTGGTTATGACTGAACAGAATGTCATTCTGTTGAATTCATGACAACTGAGTGATGGAATGAAGGTGAAATGTAAAGTACCACTGTGCTTTTAGGGTTGTTTATGAAGTAGCTCACTATTTGGCATTCTGCATCTAAATGGCTTCATACAGTAGCTCAGTATTGGGCAGTCTATCTGTTGATAGGTTCATGAAGCAGCTCACTATTTGGCATTTCAATGTGTTTGTAAAGCAGCTCACTATTTGGCAGTCTGCCTCTAAATGGCTTTATGCAGTAGCTCAGTATTGGGCAGTCTGTCTGTTGATGGGTTCATAAAGAGCTCACTATTAGGTCATGATTACTCACTCTTCTTCAGGTTTACTGTCGTCCAGAGAGAAGAAAGAACAGAGGGAACAAACTCATTTTGTTGTTGTCTGTCAGTAAACCGGAACAGACTAGAGACTCAGTTTCTTATTTAAATACTTGAGGTAGGAGTCAGACTTATGTCTGGACTGAGACGTCACAACTACAAAAGCCAGTCCAGGACCTCAGGACAGTGTTCCGACATCAGGGGTCACAACAGATTAACTTCTAGTCCACCATTTCACCAACATGAACAACTGTCCAAGTCAAGTCTCAACTCTTTGAAACAAGTCCAAGTAAAGACAAACAGATCAAATCAAGTCTCAGGTTTAATCAAATCAAGGCCAAGTCAGGTATTATATTTTATCTAAACAAGTCTGAGTTAAGCAAATCCAAGTCAAGTCTCAAGTCTTATTATAAAGGTCCAGATCAAGTCTTATCAAAGCACTAGTATGTCAGGTCTAACGTTTCATCAAAACAAGTCCAAGTAAAGACAAAAGTCTTTTCAAAAGAAGTCGAAGTCAAGTCTTGTTTTTTTAAAGAAAGGTCGGATCAAATTAAGTCCAAGACAAGACCCACGTTTATCAAAGTAAGACCAAGACTCATGTCTTATCATAGCAAATCCAAAACAAAACTGATGTCTTAGCTCACGATCAAAGCAAGTCTAAGACTAGTCTCAAGTCTTATCAAATTAAGTCCAAGACAAGACTCAAGTCTTATCAAAATGATTTATTATGTCTTATTTAGTTGGTTTCTTGTGGTTCAAATGGTTGACACACACACTCACACACACACTGACACACACACACACACACACACACCCACACTCACACACCCACACACACACACACACACACACACACACACACTCGCACATACACACACACACTCACACACACACACACACACTCACACACACACACACACTCACACACACACACACACACTCACACACACACACACACTCACACACTCACACACTCACTCACTCACTCACTCACTCACACACACACACACACACACACACACACACACACACAAACATTCAATATTTACCTGGTTGTTGTGTTTTCGTCCTGTGAACAGAGGTGATGAGGAAAGGATAAAACATTACCAGGACATACAGGTGACCTGAACTCACAATGAGTCTCAGTTGTAACATCTGATCCCGGTTCAGTACCTTATCCTCACCTTGGTGGTGGAGTTAGCTCGACTCAGCTTTGGTGAGACTGCAGGTTGGGGCAGAGCGCCGCTGATCCACATCAGCACACCAGGCTGAGAGCCAGGTGCTGGACTGAGGACATACAATTCAGAGTTTTAACATTTCAATTCACTCACAGTTAGTTTTGAACTGAAACGGAAAAACCAAATCAATTGAAATTAATTAATTAAAGTAAAAGCCTTGTTAAGTCAAAGACATGGCTCAAATCAAGGTATGCAAATTTAAGTAATACAAGGTTAACATATATCTCATATCAGTGAGGAAAACTGACAAATCCTATCATGACTTTGGTTTTAGTAAACTATCATGACTTTGGTTTTAAT